TAAGGCCCGCCTGTATTTTTTCTGCATAGCACCCAAAGTATGAATCCCCATAACTCTGGTCAAGTGGCCAGACAACTGTGTCGTCAAGGGGAGGGACATTTATTCTGTAGCCGGCTCCCATAGCATAGGTATCTCGGAACTTTTCTAAATTTTTTCGCATGGTTCTTTGGGTAGATGCGGATATGTGGGTGAAGTATAGGGTGAATTTCTCTTGAAGGGAAGAGGAAGTCTCTTCTTGGCCACGCTCTACAGAGACGACCTCCTCTTCAGATGCTTCTTCAGCATTCACATGCGACCCCTCTTTACTTTTAGGACCGCCTGTGTTAGCATCCGACTGAGATGAGCCCTCTTTAGAACCGGATGTCTCATCACCTGAGTCACTTTCTAATTCACCCAAAATAGAGTCATCTGGCGTCTTTAGGATGCCTGATGGATAGTAGGAGACTTCGCTCCTAGGCACCCTGATAAGACTCTCGCCCTCTTCATCACTAGGCGGCCGAGCTGTCCTTTTTGTTCTAGCCATAGTGTCCTACACAGACACAGACAGATTTGTTGGCGAGTGCAGTTCAGGACAGGCAGCACCCCTAGTTCTAGATTCAGTCGTCCTAGGTGACCAGCTGACAGCTATCCTAGGTCGTGTCGTGTGTGTTTGTGATACCATTTCTAAGGAAACAAACACGGGAGAAATGAAAGTAAAATGAAAAGAAAGAGAAAGAGCAGGTGGTTACCTTGAAAAGGTACTGCTGAAAGTTGATCAAACCGTCTGGGTCAAGCGGCAAAAAGCAAGCGGCAAGCGGAAGTGTTCTTTCAAGAAAAAGTCAAAGATTCTCTCAGATTCTCTTAAAGATTTTTCGTAAATAAGCGAAAAGGAGAGGGGCAATTGCTTATTTATAGAGGCGTAATTCCAGGGGAACCTTGGTAATTTTCCCAGAATGTGAACAGTAAAATATGTTCCACCAGTTGTTGAGTGACAAGTGTCACATATGCCACGTAGCATGCCACATCACATCTGTGAAGGGCAAATGATTTGGGGAAAATTACCCCGCCACGTGGGCCATTTAAAACAGGACACATGTCCACCCAGAATTGGTTCAAAAGAAGCCAATAACAGCATGACACGTGGAATCCACTGTCAAGAGAAGAAATGGCAGCCTTCATAGGCCCAATTCCCGAAAAGCCGCCAAAAGTGCGAGTAGCCCACCAAATCAAGGTCAAATGAGCTACGTAAGGGCACACTTTTCCCAAATGACCCTATAAATAGAGAGATTTTCCCCATTTGTGGGGCAGATTGATTATTACAATATTCCTGATATTCTCTTACATCAGAGAAATCACCTGATCTCGGACTCCGAGAAGATATCACTTTTACCTTTTTTCGCACTTTTTACTTACTCCAGCACATTCTAACTTGATCATCGGAGGCGGAGCTCCATCCACCCGGAATTTCCGTTGTTTTGCAGGTACAGGCGCTTCGCGACTAGTCTTCGAGTCGTAACTCTCCCGAGGGACAAAAACACCAAAAACAGTATTGTACAAAATGTGAATGAAATATGGTGGTATTTTTCAAAATTTCTTAGTCTTAAAGGATATTATATTTCGCCAATTAAAGTCATACGCCATCTACAATTGACAATCAACGATAATGAACACAGATTTAACAAAATCAATCAAAAATTAACTTGGGTGCTGAACTGGGTGTGAATTTAGGTTTTATACCTATCTGCGCAGTATGAAAGTTAAAATGTACTCTCCATGCATAGGTGACATATATGGGTGTGGGAATAGAATTTCTTAGCAGATATGAGTGTGGGCAAAGGGAAACCCGTACACGCTCTGCCCAATTGCCAACCTTGATTAGTATGACCTTTGAATTGATATATATCCATATCCGCTCATTACCCATCAAAGTCATGATATGTTCTAGCCACTTTAATTGAGGTGAGTGTAGCGTAGAATCCGCGAAATTATATCCACTTTCCTTATCAATTTCTATTATCATCTCATTCTAGCTATTTGATAATGGTTAATTCCAAATAATTGCACATACATATACTTCATAAGAAAACCATTTTCCCGTGTATGACCCAACTCAATCTGATCGAAATTTGCAATAACTCTTACTAAAAAATGACCCGGCTTGAATTAATCCAATCCAAAATTCGCAAATGATCCAATCTGGACCAACCCAAACAAACTAGAATGAAGCACTTCTAGCAATCAATAAATGGTCAAACTATCCTAATTTGACCCTAAAAGTTGAAGTCCAATTATTTTAAGGCATGAAGCATTTCAATTCTTAAATGAAAGCACGATAGAAAGAGATCACACTATTATAGTTTATTACTTGAATTGTAGTTTGTAGTCAATTTGAAATGCCAGGAGATAATCAACTACTACGAAGTATTAGGTTGCACTCCACTTTTAAGTAAAGTTAAAACGAGTACTTAAATTAAAATACCAATTTGACAGATGAAATTGGTTTCATAGACATTAACTAGGGTGTTTGGTAGGTACAATGTACAGTCATGGTCGTATATTAGGCACATAAAAAAGGTCTTGTGGATAAATATTGAGCTATTGGATGATGGGGATGCCAATAGCTCTTTGATTGTGTTCTAACAAAAGGTACATCTACGTATATGCAATATGCATATGCAATGTTCTTGGAATTTCAAGCGATACTTGAAAAAGAGCTGAAATTGATTAGTTATCTGATATTAATAAGATAAATACTCCATAGTAGTTAAAATTGATAAGGTGATAAAATTGATATGGTACTAATTAGGTCCGATCGGTCATTAGTTACGTACAAAAGAATAAATACGAGTAGACATACAAAATATGTTACTCTTTCTTGAAATTAATGAAAATACTTGCTTATTCAACATGTAACTCTTTATGCATATTGCTTAAATTTAAATATTTTCTGTGTAACTAACACTTTTTCCAACCAAAATAATTCCGGTCATATCCTCTTAGGGTCTGTTCTCATTGACTGAAATGAGCCGAACTGAACTAAACTTATTAGAGCTAAACTGAATTGAACTGAACTGAACTAACTAGACTAAATATTTTATAAGAGAATGAAATTAGGAGCTGAACTGAACTGAACTGAACTTATTAGAGCAAAACTGAACTTATTAGAATTGAACTGAACTCATTAGAACTGAACTGAATTTATTAAAGTTGAACTGAAATAATCGTATGAGAATAGGCTTTTACTTTTTCATATAATGCATTCTGTAATTTTTTACATAAGTTTTATAAATTTATTCATATTACCAAATTTCGTGTCATAATTTTGTGCTTGAAACTCAATTTTATTGGGTTGATCTTTGTGTCACTCCAGGTCCGGTAATCTTTTGCAAAGTCTAGTTGCTATTGTATATTTATTGGACCAAGCTTAAGTATGTACAAGTACAATATAATTAGGATAATTCCGTATAAGAATTGATATGAAGTAAAACAATCCTATGAAAATCCATTGAATCTGATCAGTACAATTCAACTATGAATGTTATAGTTTCCAATCTTCCACACGTATTTGGACCTTACAATAAAATCCATTTAACAACCAAAAAAAAAAAAAATATCCATTTCAATTCACAAAACTCATTTTAGTTCATACCATATTCGTTTTGTAAATTGCATATATAATGCCATTTCCCCTGAAAATGAGCACTTTTTTCAAGAAAATTCGTTATTTTTTTTTCACAAGCAACCTAACCCCATTTGTTAATTTTCTAACTCCTAAAAATTATAAATAAAATAAATTAATTAATAAATAAATAAAGCGAATTTGTGTAATTTGGGTTCATGGGTTTCTTTGCACATTCATGGTTGACCAAATTTTAGTTGGGTAAAATGCCATTAACAATCAATTTTATTTTATTTTTTTGCATAATTTATAACTTAAAATTTTCAAAAACAAAAAAGAAAAGTCAACTATACCGACCCTAATATGATACACGTATATATTATTTTGAATCAATCTTCCTTTTTTCATACAATTTTTGCAAAATTACGCTTCCTAATTTGTAAGTTAATGGTCATACTTTGATTTTGGTGGTGTAAGTTTGAGGTTATTCTTTGGCTTCCTTTAGTGAAGAACAAGGAAACCCAAATCCTCGTGTTCCAACGTAGTTTGATTAATTCATTTATTTAATTTATTCTTAATTTCTAAGGTATTATACTACTTTGACTTGTCTACTGTTGATTTATTTTTAATTTGCTTAATTATTGGTTTTATTCTTTGTATTGCATCGACATGATCACATAGATCTTGGTCTTGGGAACAAGAGATTTGACATATTTGATTTTGAAAGATTTTTATTAGAATTAATTTTGTGGTTCGAATTTCGATTTTACTCTCTCCGTCCTTACAATAATAATAGGCTGAATTTGATAGTCGTAAGCTAGTACGAGTAACACTTTTTCTTACCGGCATTCCTTATTATGTACATTATACGTCTTCATGTGGAATATTGTATCAAGTGTATTTTAATTTGTTTTCTTACTATATTTGGAAAATGGTCTATGCAACGAAGCTAATTAAATGAAAATATTGTTATATTCAATTTCTTTTTCATATGTAATATTACGTATGATATTTTATTAATGAATTAATTTTAATGAAAAAAAAATAATAAGTGATATGTTATTTGGAGGGGGGATCCTTTTAGATGACAGTCCATTTTTTGCTGCATGAAGCTTGCTCAATGCATTGGTAAAATACACGTTATTTTTGCACTAGAAACAGATTAGCTTACACTTTTTTGTTACAAAGAAGCAAAATAACAAGGATTCTGTGTGCTATTAGTTAATAATAAAGCTAGAGTCTATGCGAAAATCGCAGGATTAGCCCAGTTTTAAGGCAACAAAACTGGCTTTATTTTAGTTAGATTGAGTGGGATAATGGATGAGATGATGTGAATTTAAAGCATAGTTTTTTCTTAACAAAAAATAGTTTTGTTTAATCATTAGACATGAATTTGTGGTGTTTAGGCCCATGTGATCTAGGATGCATTTCTCATGTATGCTTCATATTGCTTGTAGAAGCAATTTATACTGTTATATATAAACTTGTTTGCACACTTTTGGTTGTAATTCAAATGAAAAAATCACACCCTTGGTACCTTTTCTGTTAACTAACTCCTTTTCGTGTTATCAGTAACAATTCTTTCTTCCTTGCTGAAACGTGAGATCAAACTTGGTTGGATCCTTCACGTACTCAAGGCTTGTTCTGGTGTTGCTGATCCGTCTGCTTTGTAATGACTACGTTGCAGCTATAACAAGAGTAACAGCGATATCTGCAGCATAACGACATCAGTACAGCTGACAGTAAGGTATGAAGGATTATTATCTGTACTAGTGTTTTTTTTGCTATGAATTACTATGTACCTATTGTTGGATGCATGTTCCGAAACAATGAAAACATAGTTCTTTTAGAGAAAGTGTTGCATTTTCTGTTTAAGGTTTCAATTTATATTCCATTCCTTCAATTTATAGAGGTCAATTTTACATGATGAGCTTTATTTGTAGCTCTTGCACCATTGCTTCAATTTTTTCGTACCTAAAATCTCCTAAACATTGTGTAAAAAAAGGCGAAAATAGTATGATTCTCTGTATGATAAAGTGCTTCATCAAACATCAAGTGTTAATCTGTAGGACATTCTTTCTTTTTATATCAAGTGGTAATGCTTGAAAATTTACATTAGACATATACTTGCAATTTGTGCTCTCTTTTGACCTTTTTCACCCTCTTTTTTTTTCATTATTATGAGTTGCTATTCTATGAATCTTGTGTACTCTTATTCTTTATTTATTTATAGAATAGCAATGAAAACATGGTTTGATAGACCTTGAATGTGATCAATGTTAATTTTTGTTTTTGTTTTTGGCTAGCAGGTGTATAGTAGTTCTTTGAACAAACCTGATAAAATGGGTATTTACAACAATTACAAGAACGCGAGTACAAATGCCAAAAGTGGCGATTATCTGGAAGGAGTGTTAAATGATTATGTAGGAGGAAAGGGGAAGCTAAAAGGGCATAAGAGTAGCTCCACAAGGCTGGTAACAACACTCACTTGTGTACAATTCGCGTTTGCAATATATGCTACGTTTCTTCTGTATTACATGAGCCCTTCAGTTGATCTAAGGACTAAACCGGACTTCACGTGGGCTACACAATTTGCAAAGCAATGGAAGGACTATATTATTCAACCCAACATTGTGAGCCACTACCAAGAAGTATCTAATTTGGTTGCAACGGATATGCAAGCAATGCAAACAATTGTTCCAGCTGAGGTCTGTGAGCACGAAAAGATCGATTTTATGCAGAAGAAGTCCAATGATGTTCAAATGATCAAGTTGAAGACTGAGCTTTATAATGAGGTGTTGCAGTTTCAAAGCAAGAATTTTGGCATTGAGACTCTTAGGCAACTAATGGCAATGCCATCAAAGTGGGATTTGAAGGGGTCTAATAAACCAAAAGTTACAGTTATTTTAAACCATTTCAAAAGAAAAACTCTTTGTGCTCAGCTAGATTCTTTGCTGCACCAAACTCTCCCTTTTCATCATGTTTGGGTTCTTGCCTTTGGAAGTCCGAATGAGCTGTCACTACGAAGAATCGTGCAGAGTTACAATGATAGCAGGATTAGTTTTGTGGGTTCAAATTATGATTTTAAGTACTATGGAAGGTTTCAGATGGCTCTGCAGACAGAAGCAGACCTTGTATATATCGTTGATGATGACATGATACCGGGAAAGAAGATGCTTCAGATACTGTCCCATGTTGCAGGTACAGAGAAGTACAAGAATTCTGTTCTAGGTAGCATAGGGAGGATTTTACCTTTCAGACAGAAGGATTTCACCTTTCCTAGCTACAGAAAGTTTCGTTCGAAGGAGGCAGGACTCTATCTACCTGATCCTGCTTATGATATCCTTGTTGAAAAGGTGGTGCAGGTGGATTTTCTCTCGAGCTCGTGGTTTTTATCTGCAGAGCTTGTCAAGACTCTTTTCATTGAGAATCCCATGACCTTTATGACTGGTGAAGATCTGCACCTAAGGTAAGCCAATGTTTAATTTAAATGCAATTTGCTTTGCTTAGCATTATTTTTTACTTTTTTAGTGAATAGGATATCCTCCTGAAGTCCTGATTCATCTCTCATGCTTAGTATATTTTTACTGCAATTAAGGAATTTGCAATATTAATATTTAAGAAACCTACTTTGCTTTCTACATGGGATCTTTTCCTGATCTATTTTTGTGCTTAATATGTTTTTGATGCAACTTAGTTTATTGGTTTATTGATTTAATATGAGATGCTTCTAGTTTTATTGTACTTGATATTGAATTATGTTTATACGGAGTACTATGTAATTTTTATTGCAGTCGATGAACACTAATGTATGCTGGAGCATTTAAGCTATGTTTCAATGCATAGCCTACAAATCTTGCACTAGATTAAAGTTGTAATTCATAACCTACAGTGAGAAGCTGCCTTCATTAATTGTTTCACCTTTTTTTCTTGCGTATTTTGTTGTTAACATTCGATACAATTTTACTTTATGTATCACCTTAAACGTAGTTTTCCCTGAAACACTTTATTTCTGCATCTATTCATCCAATACGCCTTTCATTCATGCAGCCTTCTAATTGATCTGCCCATTTTTAGTCCATGTCTTGATCTACCAATTGTGTTGTTTTGATATTGTGAACCATACTACTTATCCTTTAATATACTTATACACCTTTCATTTTGAATATTCACTATTACATAATCCACATGTAACATAGTATTTCACACTGATGTAATGAGAAAAAAAAAAAATTACATTATTTTCGTGCTGTCAACTTTCTCTGTTTCCTTCTCTACTTAGTTGTGTCAAATGGTCTAATGTCATTGTGTTGATGGCATGCAGCTATCAACTTCAAAAATACCGAAATGCTGGCTCATTTGTGCTTCCAGTTGATCCGAAAGACAAGGAAACATGGGGAGATAGTGAACATCGGCTTGCTTATGTGTCTGAAACTACTGTTATATTCAAAGATGTTGTTCAAGTAAGAGATGATCAGTGGTGGAGGGCCCTTTCGAGTGGTTATGTGACTCAATGGGCAGCAATGCATCCTCAAAAGATTGATGCACTGTTTTATGCTCACTCCATCAATGAAGTGAAGGCCCTTGCTCCTCTTCTTGAGAAATTTAGGTCCACTTTTGGTAAGAAGGCCTACATTGTGGTATCAGGGGGCCAGTACTGTCCTTGTGAAGATGCTGCAACCGCTTTGAACTGGCCAAAATCGGTTTGTAAAGAGAGAAGGTTTAAAATATTTGATCTCGGAGTTGGGGCACTTTCAGGTGTATCTAAATCTGAAGTGCCTATAGTGCAAAGTGTGTATGCCAGCATGAAAGGGCTCATTAAAATTCACAACCCGAGTGTGGTTATTGCTGTTAATGATATTGATTCTGATGTGAGAAAGGCATTGACAATGGCAACCGAGACCAATAAAAATGGCTCTACGTTTGTTCTTCTACCTAGAGTATCCGTGCCTAAGGTCCTTTGGATGGCAGATTTAAGATCTACTGCTTTACCAAGTAAGTACTCTCCTTTCTCTTTTTTCAAGTCCTACCTCTTGTATAATGTAAATCAGGCTAAAATGATAGAAATGTGTCGCGTTTAAGGCTAGCTTAGACTTGTGTAGAGCTTTTCATTTCAATTGTGTCTTAAAACATTTAGCACTTGTCAAAGTTCTGAATTAATGAAACATCTTCTGACCAAACATACACTTTATACAGATTGGAACAAGATGAGAATCTCCATCAACATTATCACCCAAAACCGTGTGCGTTCTCTCATGAGGCTTCTCAAGTCTCTCACTAATGCATTTTACTTGGGCGACGACATTCCAATTTCCTTCAATGTAGATAGCAGAGTAGACGAGGCAACAATAAAGCTATTGAGCACATTCGAGTGGCCTCATGGAACAAAGACTTTAAAGAGGAGAATCATTCAAGGAGGACTAATTCGCGCTGTTAGTGAGAGTTGGTATCCGTCTTCAGATGATGACTTCGGTCTATTGCTTGAAGATGATATTGAAGTATCTCCTTACTACTATCTATGGATCAAGTATGCTCTCTTAGCCTACCACTATGACCCTCAAATATCATTCCCCGAGCTCTCTTCAATCTCTCTTTACACTCCTCGAATTGTTGAAGTTGTGAAAGAAAGACCTAAATGGAATGCAACAGAATTCTTCCAACGCATTCATCCAAACACCCCTTACCTACACCAGCTCCCCTGCAGTTGGGGTGCTGTTTTCTTCCCTAAGCACTGGAGAGAATTTTACGTGTACATGAACATGCGCTTTACTGAGGATCCTAAGAAAAACCCGGTCCAAATTCCCAAGTCTAGAACCAATGGATGGCAAGCCTCATGGAAGAAGTTCCTCATTGACATGATGTATTTACGAGGCTATGTGAGTCTGTATCCAAACTTTCCGAACCAAGCTAGCTTTTCAACCAATCATATGGAACCCGGAGCTCACATTAGTGCTAAAGACAATGTTGTCAAGCATGATAAGACTGACTTTGAGGTGCCCCTTTTGGCAGATGATTTTCGAAACCATTTGCCTAATGGTAAGTTGCCTTCAGCTTCAAAATTGCCCTCGCTTAACCTCTTCAACCAGGCCGTGTCTCTTAAGGGCTTGAAGTCAGCTGGCGCGAAGCTGAGAATGGATGTGCTCAACTGCACTGCACTGGAAGTTGTGACTGTGCATCATGTTACCGGACTGCCTAACCAGTGTGCCAAGTTCTGAAAACTGAATTTGGCTGCTCAATTTACATTTTTTTTTTTTTTTTTTTTGGTTTCTTTTGTAGGATGTATCAAAGGCTATGTCCAACCTTAGCTTAAAGGTGGGATCAACACTTGATTTTGACTGCTAGCAGGTAAACCATGTAAACACTATTGAAAAGATTATTCACAAAGACCATTTCAAAATTTGTTTCATTGCTTTGTACATTTGTAATCAAAGCCAAAGTGGCTTCCTTTACTACATTAAAACAAAGAGATATATATTATTGAACTTTGTCGTCTCCATTTGAAATTATTTTAGTTAGCTTCTACCGCAAATGAGGAAAAGTGTTTATGTAACAAACATATGTTGAATTTTCATACAACGCATAAAAAGCAGGACCAAAATCTTGTTTGTAATAGGCCACATTGAAATATGTACATATCATATTATTTATAATTAAAATCAATATCTTTCACATCGAACTTGAAATACAGACAAAACCCTTGCACCACTGCACCGCACGGGTTGAAACCCTAGTAATTAATAACACACTTAAAAGTTTACAAGAACACAAAGGTTTTACATCAAATCCACAACATTATAAGTGTTGGTGATAACATAGTTCACTTTGGGTGGAATAAAACTTTGAAGCTTTGTTGCACGGCTTCTAGATTCATGAGCCGCATCCTCTGTAATAACCCCGACTAAGGGCTTTAAAGGGTGACATATGAAGCTATGGAGTTGGACGGCCATATCAAATATGGTTAGTATCAAATTCAAATCATCGTCACCTCCAACAAACCCAACAAGTTGGAAAACCCTCAGACATGGTAAAGCTTTGTATTCTATCTTGTCCTCTTCCAAACTATGATCATAAATATAACTGTTGCGATTATTGCCCTCTCGCGGGTTCATCAATGATAAGGGCTCCAATCCCTGCAACACTCAAGCCTCCTCTGGCATACATGCACTAATCCAACAAACCTGCAACATGATGAACATCAAACCCATTAAGAAAAAATTAGGTATTTTAACCATTAATCCATTATAATAACAAATTTCATGTCCAAGCACAGATCTAGCAACGGAAACTAGGCTATGGAAAGAGTTTGGTAAAAGAATTATTGGTTTTGGAATTGTAAATGAAATGGAACAATGCACAGTAGCAGTAAAGTAAAGCACTTAAAATTCTAAAATTTGAAGGTTAAACTAATTTACCTGCAGCTTGAATTCACACAACACCGGGCATGCCCCTAATAATCTTATGATACTAGGAAGGTCAACTATCGAATCAAGCCAATAAGTCAGCACCAAAAATTTCAAGTTGCTGAAGCATGGAAGACTTTTAGCAGGAATATTACAAATGACACCCTGTGTCATGAATATAGTCAAGGGTTAGGAGCTTGAATTCACATAATTACCAACCCAAAAAGAAAAGAACAAAAAAAAAAAAAAAAACAAATAATTTTCTGAAAAAATAAAACTGTAGCATCCTTGCACTAACCGGTAGTAAATACATCATGAAGCTAACAGAAAATTTGGATAGTTGCATGGCAAAACAAGCAATTTGCTGACATATTGGAGTTGTGGCACGACAACATTCTCCATCAAAAGCTGCTTCAGCAAGTGATAATGGCAAACTTTTGAACTCAATAATCGGCTTGCCAACATAATCCAAATAACTAAGATTCACAGCATCAATTTCAAGTTTATTCAATGAATCACAATAGCGTATTGACAATTGTTTCAATTTGAAAGACGCAACCTTCAAGCTCACAAGTGTGTCAGAGCCGTCTACAACAAGCTGTTCTAAATGGTGGCATTCTGTCAAAAAAAATTCAAGCAACTCTCCACTAACATCAACACCAATCAAACGCAAGCAAGTAAGAAAACTGATGCCGCTTTCAAACAATGAAGGCTTCAGAGTGTAAGTATCACATGGACAGTCATACAATGGCAAATCCAGTTTCTCCAGCTCCAGGTTCTTCACTTTCTTTGCCAAAGCAAGTTTAACCCATCTGTCAATATGATGCACCGGCCTTTCATAAAAGCCAAATTGGACCCTAAACTTATTGATAGACTGGCCTCTATGCAGCCTTATTACCTGATTAACCCAATTAATATATTTAACTGCTTCAATCCGCTTTGGAACATCATTATACTTACATTCTGGGAATATCTCTAAACAGTCAAAGTCAAAATCAGTCCAGTTGGTCCAAATGCACCTCCATCTTTTTGACAGGATACTAGTTTTGGCTGCCTCTTTCATCTCTAGTCGAAAAAGTATGGTCAGCATGATATCTTCTGGCAACTCACTGATTCGATCCACGCCTTCCAAATTGTCCTAAAATACAGTATAAGAAATGTGTTATTCAACTATGGCCTGACAGATATCAGAAATGACTAAATCACCAAGTTAACAAAGATTCATCTATCTGGCTACCAAACAAGTATAGCATTTAACGCATAACAAATTTGCATTCAATCTGCATGCTAATCGACAAACCCTCAATTTATATACATGGATGTCTGTAATGACTATAAACAAAACTTACCATGTCTTCCAAAGGTAAGATTTTCTTCATGTTGGCATTGCAAGTCATGTTCGAAGGATCTACACAAGCCATTCTTGAGAGCACCTACGAAATAAGCAAGCCCGTCCCTGACACAGGGCAGGAGGGGCGACCACGCTGGGCCTATGAAGAACGAACAAATATGTTTACAACCTATAATCAATCAATTCATTAATTAAATGTAGAGGGATAGATTTCCATGAAACAAATATAACTAAAACATGCATTCATTCACACATGAACTATCTAACAATTAAACAGCGCTGTTACTTATCTTGCATTTGACTCCAATGGACAATGCAAAGTGACAATACTTATACAGTTATACTAAGTAATAAACTTCCAAGGGCTAAGGTAGACCTTCCAGGATCTTTTTTTTTTTTTTTTTTTTTTTTTTTTTTTTTTTTTTTTTTTTGATAACTTACATTTCCTAGAAAGTAATTTTCCTTTGTTTGATTGTTAGAGATAATTTTTCCAAAGGTGAAAAATAGCTTTCTAAGGGTTGAAAACAATTCATTTCTCAAGGAGGAATGCTACATTTTCCTTTATACTCTTTGCTTCTCTTCTTCTTTCCTCCCATCCATTTTCTTCATTCCCATTTCCATTTCCTTCTTTCTCCGTAACTTTTCTTGCAAGGGAACAAACAAAAGAAAACCAATTCTCTCCTTGAACATAGTAAACCATGGTAGATGATTTTCCATGAATGATATTCTCTTTCAAACAAACGGAGCTTGCATGTAGATTCAAGTACAAACTTCGTTGTTCCCTTACAGAATTATCTCACGCTAAACAATGTAAGCATAACTATCCAAGTAGAATAATCCAAACTAAAATGGGCGTGGATACCTAGACTGACATGTATTTCAAGTTAAGAGAGATTACAATGCATCATGCTATCCACTATGTTAAAGCTATCCTTCATTCATTAAACATAAACAAAAATGTCTTTGTTTGTAAAAAAAACCAGGCGACCTAGAAACCATGAGATAGGCAAAACTCCTACTTCATTAGATCCCATAAAATAGGCAAAACTTTGTTAGATCCTATGAGATAGGTGACGCTTCTATGTTGTTAGATCCTATGAAAACTTCTACTTTGTAGGTCCTATGAAACTTCTACTTTGTAGGTCCTATGAAAACTTCTACTTTGTAGGTCCTATGAGTTAGACAAAACTTCAACTTACTGAATTTTTTATTTATTTTTACTTTCACAAACAAGTTCGTCTCACTACGTGTAAACTTAATATGACACCTTGACAATATAATCAGTAATTCAACATTCATTCATCTATACATTACTAAGTATTAACAATGAGAACAAAAACAAAGGAAAGCTACAACATAACTCCTAATTGAAGCATATCTTTACAAACCAAGAAAACTATTTTCAGTGTTTAAGCTCATCAAAGTATGAAAATCCAAAAGACCGTGACAAAGTGAGGAAATTAGCCTTCACTATGCTCTGGTACCATCTCTTCATATTTAAGAGGTAAATGCCATAACTTCTCTTAGAAATATTTGAGGAGGGGTTTGGAACATGAGTATAGGCACAATTTTGCATATGTAAAAAAGGGCATGACAAAAGGGAATATAATATAGCCATTAGTTCTACAAGTAATTCTGTCTCAAAAAATTAATTAGTCAATTAATTCTAAAAAAACAATCAAGCCGCAAGCATATGACAATAGGAAAACCAAAGCCACTCTCTTGTTCTTGCTTAATACAGTTTTCTATTGAAGAATTTAGGTATGAAACTCATCCTTAAATTACAAGTAACTTTTTCACCAGATTGCAACACTTACGAATTTAGGAAGATCCTACAATCATCAACAAACAATAAAGCTCAAACCTTTCCTTATAATACAAGCAACATTCCAGTACGTAAATCAGAAATTATCATAGTAAGCGAATAACAACCCCCCTAATTACATAAAACCTAAAAATGATTCCAGTCACCTCAAAATTGTCACTTCACTAATCTAAACAAAGATACAAGTATACAACTTAATCGCAGAATTCGGCACAATCAATTAACTTAAAATTCTAAGCTAGTAATGTTGTTATTAAAATGCAACAATTAGGAACTTAGGAAGATCACCAATCATCAAAAACAACAACGTTTGCATCTTGCCTAGTAATTCTTGCAACAGTTTATTTAATAAATTTGAATATCATCTTAAGTGAATAGAACCCTAAAAATTCATTAAGCATAAAAATTCATCCACCAATACACATAAAAATTCGAAAAAAAAAATATATAAATTTCAGTCCCCTCAAATTTGTACTTTACTATTCTAAACAAAAAGATACAGCTTAAACACAGAATTTGGCACAATCCATTAAGCATTAACTAAAAATTCTAAGCCATTAGTTCTACAAATAATTCTGTTTGAGAAAATTAATTAGTCAATTAACAATTAAACAAAAATCAAGCCGCAACTCGCAAGCAGATGACAATAGAATATAAATAACCAAATCCACTTTATTGTTCTTGCTTGATACAGTTTGCTGTTGAAGAAATTAGGTATAAAACTCATTCCCAAATTACAAGTAACTTTTTTTTTCACTAGATTGCAACAATTATGAACTTGCGAGCGAAGATCATACAATAAAGTTTTCATCTTTCCTTTTCTTGTCATTCTAGCAAAATTATAGCTTATAAATCTGATAATATCATCCTAAGTGAAAAGACCGTAATTTAAAGCTGAAACGCAGAATTTGGAACAATTAATTAATTAACTAATAATTATAAGCAAGTTAAGTAATGATTCAACTAACTAAAAGTCAAATATGCAACAGTTGAGAACTTAGGAAGATCACACAATCAAGAATAAACAATAAAGTTTGAATCTTTTTCGTGAAATTCGAGCAACATTTAAGTTTACAAATTTGAAAATAACCTCCTAAAAGAACCGTAATTATGTATGAATCCTAACAAAAATTACCTTTATTGGAGGTAGAAAAATCCTCGGAAAATATGAATATAAACCAAGATAATTGTATGAATACAATATAATGATGATGATTTGATACAATAATTAAATTTACAACAGTGATTGTGTTGATTGGTTGTTTTGTTCAGTGGGTGTAAATTAGAGGGCGGATGATTTGGTGTTGAGAGAGGAATACTCCATAGTCGATAATGGTGGTGGAAGCCTGGAAGGGGAGATAGGGTTGAATGTATTTGGGTGGGGGTGGGGGTGGGGGTGGGGATTGGGGCCTTGGGGGGTGCGTAGAAAATTAAAAGAGAGAGAGAAAGGGTTGAATGTTATTATTCTGACAAATTCAATTGAATCTCTTGGCTTTCTCATTAACAACTCAAGAATATATATAGTTACACAAGATATTCCTAACCCTAACATAATTAGGAATAAGATAGAATATTAACATAAATAGGAAATCTAAAGCTATGATACAATATTTCCTAATATTATCTTAACATCCCCCCTCAAGGTGGAGCATGTAGATCTCGAATGCTCATCTTGCCAAGTAAGAATTCAAATTGCGCCTTTCCTAACGCTTTTGTAAAATTATCCGCCAACTGAACCTTCGTGGAGACATACGATGGCGTAATCACACCCTCTTTAATGGCATCCCTAATAAAATGACAATTTATCTCAATGTGTTTTGTCCTTTCATGAAACACGGGATTATTAGCAATATGGAGAGCCGATTGACTATCACAATACATGTTCATACCTTGTTTATGTTCTACACTCAAAGACCGAAGTATTTGTTTCAAATGTTTGAACTCACATTGGAAACCTGTCATTGCCCTATACTCGGCCTCTGTGGAACTTGTAGAGACTGTTGGTTGCTTCTTAGTCTTCCAGGACACAGGAGACAACCCAAGCAAAACGAACCACCCAGTCAACGACCTACGTGTCAAAGGACAACTCGCCCAATCTGAATCACTCCATCCTTCCAATTGTAATGCACTATCTGATCTCAAAAGAATACCTTGACCCGGACATTTCTTCAAGTATCTAACTACTCTCAATGCCGCCTCCCAATGTTCTTCTTTTGGACATTGCATAAATTGTGACAAAATATGGACAGAATAAGCCAAATCCGGCCTTGTGACCACCAGGTATATCAGACGACCAATCAATCGCATATAACGTTCACCATCTGCGAACTCCTTCCCTTCTGCTAAAGCAAGTTTATGGTTTTGCACCATTGGAAAGTCTACTAGCTTTGCTCCTAGTAACCCTGTCTCAGAAATAATATCTAAAGCATACTTACGTTGACACACATAGAAACCATGTTTGCTATGTGCCACTTCTAGCCCCAAAAAATATTTCACAGCGCCCAAATCTTTCATTTTAAAACATTTACACAAGTATGCTTTAAAACTCTCCAAAGCAAATGTATTATTTCCTGCAATTATCATATCATCTACATAAACCAAGACACTCAACTGCACTCCACCTTTCGAAAGAGTGAATAAAGAATAGTCGGAATACGACTGTTTAAATCCATATTTCTTCAAAGCTGTAGACAATTTTTCAAACCAACACCTAGGAGCTTGCTTCAATCCGTATAATGACTTCTTCATCTTGCAGACTTTATCTAAATTGCCTTTTTGAAATCCCGGTGGTACTTTCATATAAATATCCTCCTCTAAATCATCGTGCAAGAAAGCATTATGTACATCCCAATTTTTAATTGCTGCTACTGCTAAGAAAGTACGTACCGTAGACATTTTAGCCACTGGTGCAAATGTTTCATTGTAATCAATCCCTTCTTCCTGATGATTACCAAACACCACAAGTCTTGCTTTTAATCTTAACAAATTACCGTCTTCATCTCTCTTTTCAGTGTAAACCCACTTGCTTCCAAGTGCTTTCTTTCCCGGCGGAAGATTCTCCAAGGTCCAAGTGCCTTGATCTTTGAGAGCCTTTATTTCATCAGCCATAGCTTTTCTCCAACCTTCATGTTTCATTGCTTCCTTGAAAGATCTCGGTATGTGTGCCTTTGTTACTGCAGCAATATAATTTCTATGTTTTTAGGAAAACCGATCATAATTAACAAAATATGTTATAGGATAGGGAGTACTGAGGAGGATGAGGCCGTGGATGAAGATGTGACTTTATTTTTCCGAATAATGTGTGTAACGCAATCCCGCAACTTTGTCGAGGGAAATTTCACTCTTTTCCCTCGTCCTAGTTCTTCTTCACCCGTATTTTTGCTCTCCACATCGTCCCCCCTATTTTCAACACTCGGTGTGGACTGAACACCTTGTGACCGCTGCTCGGGGCTGCTGTTATGTTGCTCGGGGCTGCTGTGATGTTGCAGCACAGAATCGGGCTCCATAGCCCTGCTGCAAGGCCTCCCAGTAAGCTAGGCAGACCACTCCGTGGCCTGGCTGCGGCTGGGACTGCATCCCGGCGGCCTAGCTGCGGAGTATTCTGTTTGGAGCTGTTGCGTGGCCTGCTGAGCAGAGGACACCACGGCCTAGTCGTGGCCAAGCTCCTGCTCCCGCGGCCTGGCCGTGGAACTTTCTGTCGTGGCCAATGGATCCCCAGCTCGCACTTCCTCTTCACATATACCCACTAACTCTCCACCTTGCCACGCCTCAAACTCATCATCATCCCCAAAAAAATCCGCCATGGGCACACCTTCCGTACTACCTCCACTATCATGCACATCCTTAAACGGAAACACTTGTTCATGAAACCTCACATCACGAGACACAAAGTACTCCCTCGTCTCCAAATCAAATAATTGCCACCCTTTTTTTCCAAACGGATATCCAAGAAACACACATTTTCTACTTCGAGCCTCAAATTTATCTCCCTTACTTCGTTGATTATGCGCATAACACAAACAACCAAACACCTTAATAGCATCATAAGACGGAATTTTGCCAAACAACATTTCATATGGAGTTTTATTATGAAGAACCGAACTTGGAGTTCGATTAATCAAATAGCAAGCAGTCAAAGCACATTCTCCCCAATATTTAATAGGCAACTGATAAATCACATTTATGTAGGATTTATAGGCACGTTTATGCTAAGTTTATAGTTGCTTTTTAGGTCTTTTAGTCGCTTTTTAAGTCGTAAATACATAATTGTTTGATTTGTACACTATTACGCTCCGTTTGTGTTTTTCTTAATGTTTTAGGTGATTTTATAGTCATTTGGACGCTTTCGTAGTGTTTGGAGTTGATTCAGATGATATTTGAATGGAAGCCGATGAATTGAGTTTATTAATTGGAGATCCCATGTTTGTGGATGTTGATTTTGATTAATATGTGCATGAGACATGAATATATCATTCACAAGGGTCGTTATGTACTTTACGGAAATGAATTTGAGTTAGAAACGAAGAAAAACGAAGGTTTGTAAAGTTGCAAAACAGACCTTTGATCACTCTTTTGATCATAACTTGAGTTCTACAGATGGGATTTAAGTGATTCAAGTTGCATTGGAAACTAGACTTGAAGTTCTTTCCAACAGTAGGTCACACGTCTATATACAACGTATAACCCAGAAGTTACAAGCCTGTGAAGTTGACACAATGCCCAGTAGCTCCGAGCGAGAGCTCGCAAGGTAGCTCGCATAGGTCTTGAGCAATAGCAGCCCCGAGCGAGAGCTCACTCGACCAGGGAGCTATAGCTCCAGTTTACCCACGAAAGCAGCAAGCAAGGGGCATCGTAGCACGTCTTTTTCTTGGCCCTCGATTCCATCGAGCATCTTCGTGCCACGTCATCTTTTATCGTCCAATCGTTTGACAACTTGTGTAATTTATATTTTACTTTTCTTTAATTATTTTTAGATTTGTTTTAGGATAATATAAATACTCCAAGGGAAATTATTTTTTCCCTTATGCCTTTTTATACTTTTTATTTTACGTTCGTTTTAGCTTTCTCTTTAGCCCTAGTTTTTCATGGACAACTCCATGGATTCCTCCATGGATTTGTCCTTGAATTTGTTACTTTAATTTATAGAGGTAATATTATTTCTTTACTTTTGATTATGCTTTCTTTATTAGTTTTAGTTTTAATTATTTATTTCATGCTAGAGTAGTTTATTTCTAGGGTTTGGGAATCCATGTTTATACTATGAATCTTGATTGATGTTATTGATATTTTAATTTTTGATTTCTCTAATTGATAGTGTTTTGTTGTTAATCTTGCAACCTGATCAATTGTTTGATTAATTCTTGTTAATAAGAGTTTGAATCAAAAGATGTTACTTTTAGAGGCTTACCTACAATTAGCAATTCTGATTATGTTAGCGACCGAACTGCATATGTTGAATTGAGAGCGTTAAGAACCGACCGTAGGCTTAGAAATTGCTCTAGATAATTGATTGATTGAATTGTTATTGATATTTGATAGATTTAGAACTATAAACATGGTGAACCATAACCCTAGGTCTTTTTATTAATTATTTTATCCCTCTTTTAATTTAGACTATTTTCCTATCCCAATTTCGTGACATAGTTTAGTTTCTCCATACCTTGAAAGCTAGATTGAATAGCCATCTCTATGTGGATTCGACCCTACTTACCCTACTACATTGTAAGTTGGTTTTGTTAGGAATTTATTTTTGACAGGTGTACGACAACCTATCAAATTTTGGCGCCGTTGCCGGGGAGACGGCTTAATTTGATTTGACTTTTATTTTTGGTTGAACTAAACTTGTATATATTTTTATTATTTATTTTGTATATACTTCTTTTTTGTTTTACTCTGATTTTGTCATCATGGCGTGGTATGATTATAATTCATATGGGGTGAATGATTTTAATTACCAAGGGCAATATGATTATAATTTCGGGAATTGTAATGCTAATGTTTCTATGTTTGATGCATCATATGATTATCAGAATTCACAAAATATGTGCATGAATTCCTGTGAAATTTCTTATTACCCTAGTAAGTCTTATATGCCTAATTTTAATTCCTCTTACCAACCCCAAGTGGACAATTATACTCAATCCAATTCATCGGAGTCTAGGGAACTTTTCAATATGATGAATGAGTTTATTGTTAATCAGCATGAAGAGCTTAATGAATTGATGCATGATTGTCAACGTATTTCAAAATCTATTGAATTACTTGTTGTGCAACAATATACTAACCAACAGGTGATACATGATTATAATGATATTGGTTTTGAGAATTGTATTTCAGTGGAGGAAAGCATTAATTTGACTCATGATATTTACTCCCCGTTAAATGAAAGTATAATAGAGGAGAATAATCTTTAATCTCTTTATGAATCTGATGGTGAAAATTATTGGAATGAAGATATAGAAGTAGTGGAAAAGGAAGAACAACCAA